AGTGTCCAAACCGCACGTGTGAAAGATACTCTGTTGCCCTCTTGCAAGACATGGCAGTCACAAAGCGCCACAAGACAATACAAGCCATCGCCAAAACAAAATCGCACAGTGTTTTATATGGGGCACTGGCGCGCCAGCCTAAAGCGGTTTGGCGCTAAGCTGGTCGCCTCTGCTGTGGGGAGCCAAATCGTATGGTCTGTGCAACAACCTGACAATGCGATCTGAGACCACTGGAAGCCGCTGTTCAAAAGGGTCAAATTTCGGATGGGTTTGGATGGTCTCGTGGAGATGGAGGGTGAAACTGAAGCGGCCTTGATGGCACAAGGTCTTGATGCCAATAAAGGCTATGAGGCGCCTGTCGCGCATGATGTCCCCGTCAACCATCTTGCCGCCACAAGAACGAGAAAAGCTCAATCTGCGATTTTTTTGAGCGACGCCAAAAAACCGCACAACGCCACCAGCTCGATTGGAATGACCACTTCCCTAACAACTCGCATGTTAGTGAAGGGGTCAATCAAAATCAAACCGCCACCCCCTGCTGATCGGTAAACGGCTCAAAAATGTCCTGGAGAAGGCGCACCTCGTTATCAAGCGGTTTCATCTGGAGGTGACGCAAATGATGTGAGCGAGACCCTGGCAGAACTGATGAAGATGTACCTGCGCCAGTTTGGTTAGTTCTTGCATTTTCTGAAGATTGGCTTCATGTCCTCAGAAGGCAAGTTATGAAGCATGAAGCAGGCTTGTCGGCTTCAGGCTTCGGAGCACTCGTCTCAAGATCAAGGCCTACCATTGCTCCCTCAAGCGAAACAGTTAGCCAAATGCCTCTCGGAACGAATCTTGGGATTGTTTTCCTGCCAGTAGAACACCCTGTCTCCAGGTTGGGCTCATTCTGAGATTCCGCGCAAGCTCTTCTGATGTCTTCCAACTTTGAGATCCGCTGGTCGTCTTCCGAGCGCGCTCTACTGGCCGCAGGCTACGGTCTGATCGCCAACTGTTGCAGCGTCCTCAACAAGTCGAACCTTCTCAAAGAGGTCGTAGCTTGACTTTGGTAAGCTCTCGGGTTCGAAATCGAAACTGGGCGGTATTCATGCGATGATGCTTGAGGTGAGGCTTTTCAATGCGACAATCTCTTATGCGTTCTGCCTAAGGCAAGAGAAGTGTGGTTGGCTCATCAGTTGGCGGCGGGCAACCGATCTCATCCTTATGGCGCCGGTGCGCAAGCCATGGTCAAACACGCAGAACGTTCGACAAGACCAACAGAAAGAAATTCTTGGAGAAACAGCGCTGTGACCCCAATTGGTTGAATTTGTGGTGGCGATTGCGAGATATCAGTTCAGGCACCCCGTTGGGAACCACAGACATCCAGAGTCTGGTTTTCACACTGCGCGCAGCATTTTTTCAGACAAACGAGTGATTTTGGAGCGCTTTTCATTTCTGTGCTTAAAGGTTAACATGACAAAGGGTTGAAATTGTGAGGCCATTCTGCATGGAAAATCAGGAGCCTAGCTCTTGTTGCCAGATGAGAAGGAAGCCTTACAAAGAACAAAGAGGCTCCTCAAGAAATTAGCACCAGCTCCCACGCAAGCAGCCTCCGGTCCATTCCGAGCCCGCAGTGAAGACACTGCCAGCGACCATGTTTGTGGAAGACTTGTTCGGAAAGGGGGATTTCAGGTTCTCGAGATCTTCGTTGGCATCAGAGGAGGGTTTGCGGGGCATGACAGGTTGGTCTGGCTCAGCGGTCGGCCGGCCTGTCTTGTTGATTATCCTCTCTGCTACTTAAGATGAGCTTTCTGCCTCAATTTTAGCGAAATGTCTGCAGCCTCACCTGTCTCACCATTGCTTGGCTTGCCTGTGAAGAAAGTCCCCCTGGGTGTCCACCTTTTGCTCTTGTCTAGGTCAATTGGACTTCTCTTCGTTCCGCGCAAACAGTGCCTTGTAAGGCGCGACGCACGCACGAGTGAGTTCCTTGTTCTTCTTGTTAAAATATCCAATGCGCCTGCTTTACTGAAACGATGATCATTGGAGTTGCAGCGTCCTCTTGCGCTGATGATGACTTGGAAGCACATACAACTTCTGCGGGAAAAGCCTGATGCTTTCGTCGTCGTCGTAGAGATGATAATCGGCGACTTCTCCACGATCCTCAACTTCGCCACGCCGGCAAGATCAACGAGAGCATGTCCTGCGCCTGATGAGGATTCGCGAAAAATACACGTCGGTCGCTCCATTTCAGCTCAGGAATTACTTCTTCAGCGTATTCTTGACGTCGTTGGGCCCTTCGGTTGGGTCTCGGAGCAAAGTGTTGTCAAGCAGCTCGCGACACATGGGTGCATATGAGTCTGCTCTTAGAATGCCCCGCGCTCTGCTTCAACGGTTTTGGGTGAGGTCCAGTCATCAATGAGCCCTCAAGTCTAAAGCTCGATATCGGGAACGCAATTCTACTGCGAACAGGACCTTGAGCCACAATGGCACATGTGTGAAAAGCGATTGCCATGCGCCCCTCCCAGGACGCACCAGGTTCTAACCAACAACCTGGACAAGAACAACTAGCAACCACCAACCCACACAACAACAAAACCAACACCCGGCAACCAACAAAACAAACACACAAAAGCAAGCAAGAAAACAAACAAACAGTCCAAGAGCGAAACCAAACCAAATCAGACAGTCAAACCAAACAAACAACTAGCCGCCAAACCAACTAAGCAACTGTTGTGTTGTGTTGTGTTTGCTGCTGTTGTTGTTGTTGATGCTGTTGCCGTTGTTGCTGAGTGCGATGATGATGGTGATGATGTCATTGTTGCTGCTCTTGTTGCTGTTGTTGCCGCCGTTGTAACTGTTGCTGCTGTTGCAACTGTTGCTGCTGTTGCTGCCGTTGCTGCCTTTGTTGCTGTTGTTGCGGTTGTTGTGGTTGTGGTTGTGGTTGTGGTTGTGGTTGTTGCTGTTGTTGGTGTTGTTGTTGTTGCTGCTGTTGCTGCTGACGATGATGAAGATAACGATGATGATGTTGAGCCCCGCGATCCCCGCGACCCCGCGCATCCAGCAAACGCCGTGAACCCCGCGAGCGGCGCGCACCGCGCGAGCCCCGCAAACCCCGCGAGACCCGTGCGCCCTCCGGTGGCTTGTCTTTCCTCACTAGATGCTGTTCAAGTGCTAACTAAGTTCCTAAATACATAGTTCCAATTGAGAACGCAAGACTTTCTGAAACTTGAAGCCTTGAAAATTTAAACTTGGGCTAAAACTGCAAGTTCCTTGAGATTTATTGGTCGCTCACTTCTTTTGCGGCGCAGGCACATTCGAGGAACCACCCAGCCTGTCTTTCCGCGCTAGATGCAGTTTACGGTTGACTGATAATTTAGCGCGTTGCCAACTTGCAATCTCCCCGATTGAGTTCTAATGAACGTCCTGCTTAAGCTTTAAAGCCGCAGTTTGGAACTTGTAAAGAGTAGCACTGAAATCGCACGTTCCCCCTTCTAAGGGGCAGACAACTGAGAAAAAAAGACCAGCGTTAGTGTGTTTCCTCACGGTTTTCTCTGCCAACTCTACTACAACCCTGCTTGGAAAGGAAACCTATGTTTGATATGTAATCCAAACCAGAGAAATGTGTAGCTCATAATCAGTAACCAAATTGAACATATCTTAAGGAACACATAGCCTGTCTTTCCTCGCGGGTTTCTGCGCCGATGCAAAAAACGATGCTTGGAAAGGAGTTCATGTTTCATATGTAACCCAAACCAGAATATCCTCAAATCGGTTAAAAGAAACAACCGGCACGTCTTTCCTCACGCGGTTTTTTGAACTTAATTAATTGTTAACTAAACTTTTGCTTGTTAAATTCCAACGACAGTCCTACTTGACATTGCATTTGCCCTGGGTTTCTAGTTGTTGTCACCCCTTTTGAGAGACACGGGTGAGTGGATGGCCTTCTCCCCTAAACCCATAAAAAACCAGGAAAGCAGAAGAACCAAACTAAGCAGACAAATTACGCAATAAGACGCCAGAGCCCTTGAGAAGAAGGACCCTAAACAAGAAAAAACAGAAAAGCTGGACCTCCGCAAAAAAAAGAAGCTCCCAACCAAACCAGAACACAAAGCAAAAAACAACATAAACACCGAGAAACCAGGGGGTCCAGCAAAAGAAGGGCCCGAGACAAGAAAACAAAAACAAACAGAAAACCAACGAGACAAAACCAACTTTACGAGGGCCCTGTTCTTTTGCTTTTCCGTTTTCTGGTTTTCCCAGAAGACTCGGGTTGTCTTCGATGTTTTTGCTTGTCCCACCTGTTATTGAGCTTTTTGGAGTTGAGCGGGGCGGGACTATATATAGATATATGATTATATATGTTATCACCCGGTTTCCTTTGAGTTACGGCTAGCTGGCCGCAATCTGGCCATTTCCTGATATGCGTTGCACGCGTTTCACTTGGCAGCAAGATAGGTGCCTTCAGTAAGCGCCTGCTCTGGCGCCAATCCTTGCTTGCTCAACATGATGGAGCTGATGGCTGCCATTGTCAAGGGTAAAAGTCAGTGTGTGGGCAAATGACTATGCTTGCGCGTTCCTCCCAACAAAAGACCTTGCTTTCTATTTGACAAGCATCTCACAATCACATTCTGTTTGTCAAAGAATAGGGGAGTGCGCTTTTGACAGGTTGCCCGGAACAAGGCGCCCCTAACAACACGCATATTTTCCAAGCCACTTCTTTAATTAGGGCGGCCTTTTACTATTCGGAGGAAGGGATTGGTGAGCAATGGTGGAGGCTTGGCTGGGCATTCATTGCTCAGCCAGGTTTTCGTCATGTGCTCTCCTGCAAATCAACGTGGAGCCCAGAACGCTTGGGACCCTCCTTTCCTTGAGCTTTAAACTCAGGTAAACCGTAAACCCTGGCAAGCAAAACTCTAAACTGTGAAGTAGTTGCGGAACAACGAGAAGCATGGCAAATGTGCTTTCTGTCGCCCAATTGCCTATTGAGATGGGCGCTGACATCCCAGTTCCGTCCAAAGATCTTGTGGCGAAAATGCTCTCAATCACGTGGAAGACATTCAGCTTCCTGAGCTGAGGCAGAGCGCCGCTGTTAAGCCTGACATGCGCTCAGGCATTCTAAGAATGCATTTTGAAGTTCTCGTGAGAAAAAAGGCACGCGCTCACAGACTCGCCCGCACGCATCCGCACGCATCCGCACGCATCCGCACGCATCCGCACGCATCCGCACGCATCCGCACCTGGGCGGTGAACACTTAAGGCGTTAGCTTGAAGTCAGCTGGGCGGTGAACACTTACAAACGCCCCCCCCCCAATTCTACTAATTGGACTTGTTTTGTGTGTGAATGACCAAACTACATATATGTCATCAGGTGTGTGAGCACATCGGTGTTTCATGGGGTTGCCGCAGCTTGAAATCAGCTGGGCGCTGTACACCCGCTTTACACACACACACACATAGACCTTCAACCTCAGCGCGTCGGTGTTTTCTTGGGGTTGCGGTGAACATTTAGAAATGCCCCCGCCAACCAGATTCTACCAATTGGACTTGTCTGTCTGTGTACATGACAAGATGCTACAAATATGCTACTGCGTCACACGAGTAGTCTAACGTACAAGATGGGCCTTGGGCCAAACGGTTGCGTGGAGATCAACATATAAATCAATCACAAAACAGACTCAAACTTCTTTTGATCTCCAGGACAGAATTACTCTTGTAATGCTGGCTTCATGGCCTTTGGCCGTTGCCAATTGAAACTTGCTTCCGACAAGCGCGAGGGAACAAGTGTTGGATTGCGAAATTAGCCATTTTCTCGATTTTCTACAATGTCTGCTGCGGGAATGATGATTCAAAAAGGGTGCTACTTCATCTCTGTACAAACTCTAAGAAGTAGCGGGAAGCGGCAACCCGCCGCCCCATGATGTTCGAAAGAGTGATGATTCAACTCGGGGTGAATGATTCGAGATGTTGGTAGGGGTGGCGTCCCCTATGATGCCAATGCTTGAAGAAGTGCATACGCAGACATACATAGATTACATAAAATGTCGAATTTAACAGCATTTTCTTGCGAAATTAGATGATGAATCAGATAGGGGTGTTTTGTGTGTTCGCTGCGGATTTCCAAAAAGCAGCGGGGGGGTGGGGCGGGCGGCCGCCCCCCCCACTGATGTTCGAAAAAGTGACGACTCAAGCGGGGGTGCAAAGATTTAAGAAAGGGTGTGATGGAATATAAAAAGCAGCGGTGGGAGGGGCTTCCCTATGATGTTCGAAGAAGTGCATACATGCAGACATACATACATGCAGACATACATAAGCAGAAATATACAGAACACTTGCCGGAGAGGAACTGGTGATGCTGAGGATGCGGGAATCCAAAGCCAAAAGCCAACTGGGAATGCAGCAGACGCGAAAAGGCAAAGCCAAAAAGCCACCAAAAGCCACATAAACCAACAACCAGGCCGAAAAGCCAAGAAGCCGAGAAGCCAACAGCGGAAAAAAGAGAAACCCTAAAACATACCCCTCCGAATCGCAAAGCTACATGAGGTTTATATACACATCCTTCTTGTAGATAATACATTTGAGTATGGTCGGGACTTCAAAGTTCACACTCAGACCAGCAAAATCCGTCAAATCAGAATTGGTTGGTATCTACAGATGTGGAAGAGCAGCTCTAGCCATGAGCGCCCAATGCCAATGCCAAGGGGAAGGCCAAAAAGCTGACATAAAACATTTAGTGACTTTTTTACAAAATCCAAGTCTCTAACTAATTACGTCCCACACATGATCGCCCATGCAATGGCCAAGCAGCCTTGTAAAGGGTATGATCATGATTCCCTTAAACTTTCTCCTGACAGGAACCCCTTTGTTTGCTCAGAACCAAACGTCCTACCCAAGAAACTCACGTAGGGGCGAGACCAGCCGAGCCGCACGGCGTGTTTGCTGATCTCCTCCGGGCTGCTGCCTGAAGGCGGAGGACGGCTCCCTGCGTTGTATGCGAAAAGCGGCGCAAACGCCAAGAAACTCGCTGATCGGCGTGAACTTGCGGTTGGGACAGCTGGGAGGGAAGTGGATGGGCAAGCAGGAAAGCAAGCAAGCAGGCAAGGCAAGCACAGGCAAGGCAAGCAACAAGCAAGGCAGGCAAGCAAACACGCCACAAGCAAAAACACAAACAGACAACAGACGAACAAACACGAAAGGCACGAATAAGAAAGACAAGGCCAGACCGGACCTCAGGTTAAACATGCCACGAGGTAACGCGCAACAGAAAGACAGTATACAACCAAACAGAAATCGACAAACAAAAACAAATGATAAAGGGACATAGGTAAAAATGAGAGACAGGCACAGGCCTCCCTTGTCCATATCTGCGCGTTTCTTGGCTGCGCAAGAAGGCTGGCGGTTTTAGTTGCGGATTCGAATACTACTTTCACGCTTACAAGTTGTGATTCTCTGGCTGGAGATACGAAAGTGTAGTTCGTGCACTTCGCCGCCGCAAAGTTGCAACTTTGCACCCGGGCCTGCGGGAGCGCGCTTCGCGCACCATTACTTAAAACATGCGACTTCGCAGCCGGAGCTGCGGGAGCGCACTTCGCGTGCCAGTTTCGCACTTAAAGGTTGCGATCTTGCATCCGGTGCTCTGGGAACGCACTCCGCGCACTACCTTTGTAGTGACTTGCGCCTTTTCAGCTGGAGGTGCTGTAGCACACTTCGCGCCCCGCTTTTGCAAGTGAAACTTGCGAATTTCGAGCTGGAGCTGCGGGAGCGCACTTCCCGTGCTACTTCTGCACGTACAGGTTGCAATTTTGCAGCCGGAGCTGCAACCAAGACACATTCGCACGGCGCAGCGAGAGCGAATTGACACGCGTGGTCCTGGAGACAGATTTGAGCGTAATTGATGCGGTCGGAGGTCGTTTGGGCCACACACCTCAAAAATCCCACGCGGCCACAAGAATCCCGTCGTGAAATCTGTGAACAAGGAGCGAAAATTCGGAATCCTAGACAACCATTTAACCACTTTTCACGGGGTCATTCTGCTCAGGACGGTGAAAGTTGCCTTTCAAGGCCATTGCCTTTTTTCACGGCCACTGCTTGCACTTCAATGCAAGTGTTTTCACGGCCCCGGCCCGTTGTTCACGGCCATTCACACGTCTTTCACGCGCTTGTGACGGCAGGCCGCACACATCCGTTGGCCGCAATGGTCCCGTGAAGACGCTTCTGTCCGTGAATGAGGTCGAGAGCAGTGTGTCAGATGAGTTTTCATCAAATTAGAACGCAGGATCTCCGCAAAGGGCTTGCCGAGCCTGAAAAACATTTGCACTGCGCCGCAACGAGAGATTATTAGGTTCCGCGGTGGTCACTTGTCCCGGCCGTTTGAGGAGCGAAAGCAACACTTCAACTTTCAACGACAAAAAGCGCTCTTACATAAATTTCCGTGTTTTGTTGTTTTTGAGATTTTGGGCCCGCCGAGGCCAAGCAAGGTCGAGCGGAGGTTGAGCAAAGTCGATCGGCGGTCGAGCAAGGTCGAGTGGAGGCCGAGCAAAGGCCGAACAAGGCCAAGCGGAGGTCGAGCTAAGTCGCAAGGGCCGGTTTTGGCGAACAGTGGTTTTGGTGATTTTGCGTGAAATCCGGCCTGTCGTTTGCGCGAACGTGCGTTTCCGTTACTGTGGCGAAAGCGCGCCCTCGGAAGTGACCGGGTGGAATCTAATAAGAGCGCTTCGACACGCGCGTCTCCGCAGAGGGTTCGCCGAGCACGAGACACGCGCAATCTCCGCAGAGGGTTCGCCGAGCTCGCGACAAATTCGCGCAGCCCCACAGCGAGAATTCGACACGCCCGATCTCCGCAAAGGGTTCGCCGAGCATGAGCCACATCCTGGAGACAGACTTGGGCGTAGTGAGTGTGGTCGGAGGTCTTTTCGGCCAAACGACTCAATACTCCCACGCGGCCACGAGTCCCATGAGCGAAATATAGTCGTGCAAATCCGTCGTGAAAACCCATGAAAAGGCCGCAAAAGCCGAGAGCGGTATGTCCGCATTAACTGTGATCATCAGCCTGCAGGATTCGCACGGCACCACAGCGAGAGCGCTTCGACACGCACAGTCTCCGCAGAGGGCTCCGAGTCATCTAGTTTCAAAAGACATGTGCTAATTAATAGGTCAAAAGTGGTACGACGGGCCGCGACGGCCGAAGCGGCGCCGGACGACGCCAGGCTGGTGGCAGCAAGACGGCGGATCGACGACAAGCCGAAGATGGAGCAATGACGGAGCGACGACGGGGCGACGACGGAGCGGCGACGGACCGACGACGGACCGACAGCGGACCAACGACGGACCGATGGTGGCGGCGGGGGGTGCCGAAAATAAGGTCTAGTTTAAGGTCTAGTTTTGCCAAAATACACCTTATTAAGGTCTAGTTTGGCCAAACTGGACCTTATGTTTTTGGCACGCCCCGCTGCCACCCCGTCCTCGCCCTGCCGTCGCTCCCGTCGTCACCCCGTCGTCACCCCGTCGTCGCCCCGCCGTCCTCACCCCGCCACCCTGTCGTCACCCATCCAAAAAATGACACTGTCCGTCGGTCACGTATCCCGCCAAAATACTAGAAATAGAGAGAGAGAGACATGTCTATTGAAAATAGATAAGTTCTGAGCTCAAGACACATTTGCGAGGCGCCACAGTGAGAGCGCTTCGACACGCGCGATATAGGCAGAGGGTTCGCCGAGCATGAGAGCGGAACCACAGCAACAGCGCTTCGACACGCGCAGTCTCCGCAGAGGGTTCACCGAGCTCAAGACACATGCGAAGAATCCCGCAGCGCGAGTTGCAAAGCCCGAGACGCATTCTATGGCCGTGAAACCGCAGCAGCGCCATGAGTGGCAATGGAAAAGCATGACATGGCCGTCGCAAACGCGTGAAAGGCCGTGACAAACGTGTTAGTGCCCGTGAACAACGGGCCGGAACCGTGGAAAAAACGTGAGGCGCAAGCAGCGGTGGTGAAAAAAAGGCAACGGCCGTGAAAAGCGATCTTCATGGTCCTGAGATCTCTGCAGAGGGTTTGACGAGCTCAAGACACATTCGCACGGCGCCACAGCGAGAGCGCTTCGACACGCACGACCCCCGCAGAGGGTTCGCGTGCAAATGACGCAGCCCGTAGCATCAACGCAAAACACACTGCGCCGCCGCGAAAACGCATGCCAGTCGCACAGAATGCTGCGCTCGTGGAGCCCAGCTGCCAACACAACACCCGAAGATCGGCAGCCACCTCGCACACAACAACTTTGCGAGAACTGCCATGGTTTTAAAGCTCCGTCGTAGCCTGACCCAACAAGAAGACACCACCGCGCAGCCGCCCTGCCATCAAAAACGCGCTTTTGCCTCAGAAAACAGCGTTGGCGCGAGAAATATGCTGAAAAAAGCGGTTTGCGCAAGGCTTCCTGACCGGCCCCACACATGATGGCCCCTCCCATAAAACCTGAACAATGAGCACGGCGCCACAGCCAGAGCGGGCGCGAACCCACAGTTCATGCGAGGCTGTCACATCGAAGAAAACTTTTTACGCAGGGCCAACACTTTGAGCGCGAACTCTCGGTCTTACCGTAAGAACCCCTGAGTTTAAAGTTTAAGCAGTATTTCTAAAAACAACCAAACAAACAAACAAACAAAAAAGCAAACACACAAACCAAAAACCACACCGCGCCACACAACGCCGCACGCCACACCACAGCACGCCGCGCCGCACCCCCAACCCACGCGAACGCACAAACCCCATGCGCACAGAACGCAGGCGCACGCAAGCACAAACACATACCCCAAAAACAAAGGCACCCCAATGAGTTAAATGCGGCTTCTTGGCGCGCCTTCTCCCAGCTCGTGCTCCGCCTGCGACGCCGCGGCGGACAGTGACTGCATCAGCGGCTGCTCCAGTTCCACGTCCTCGTCATGCGCTGCATGAGCCTCCCGGCGACCGCGCGCGGAAGGTGACAGGCGGAGATTTCACACCAACTCGGTTCTCCAAACGGAGAATCGGCGTCCTGGGCGCTTAGCTGCTACCCTCAAAAAACGACAGGCTTGAAGGGTTTTCTTGACGGGTGGCTTTCAAACTCCCTTTCTCTTGCTGGTCGCTCGGCGATGAGAAACATTCTTGCTGCGAGCCCACCAGGTTTTTAATAACATGTTCAGAGGACAGGTCCATCCGACCTGGGTCCGAGCGCGGCTTGCGCCTGTTTGCAGCACACGGTCATAGCAGTGCAGGGCCTCGCAGCAAAGCTTCGAAGCTGCGCCCTTTCGCTTGCCGCAAACATCTGCACAGGGTGCTTCTTGTGTCTTCCTTTCTTCTAATTCAGTCTCTGAGCCTCAAACATCTGCACAGTTTTACGGTCATCCCAGAAGACAACAAAAGGTTCAGCAACCCTTATCACTGTCTGCCGTGCGGCCTGTTCAATGGGGTTCGCAGCCATCGGCGTTTCCGGAAAACATGGTAAAAACAGAGAATTCGTGCATTGCATTTATGCGTGTCGCAAGCCGCTGCAGAAATTGAAAACAACCAACAAAAATGAAGAAACTCTGCGCGAGAAACAAGCCCTTTACCTCGAACAATCCCCAAGAAGTTCGCGTGGCTAAGCTATAGCAGCCTTAAGCTTTTACCGACATCTGGAGGTTGCCTCTTCCTGACCCTGCGTCTTGTCGAGCCCAAGCCGCCGCATCTTTGGGGCCCAACCAGCAAAACATAAGCTCCCAGGAAGGTGGAAGCGCAACCTGGTTCTCAAAATGTCACGTCGAAATTTGCTGGCTCTGCCCAGTCTTCTGACAGGAGACTGTCACAGGGACTGACACCGGTGGTCCGACCATGCAGCTTCAGGCTTCGGTCTCGCACACGCTCGCAGTTTGTCACCCGCGCCGTCACAGCTGCCTGTCACATCTGTCTGTCACAGGCTCTGTCGGCGGGGCCCATGCACCTACTTGTGTCTGACTTGGGGGCACGGTTTTGGCTCACGGCAGGCATTTTCAAGGAATGCTGCCCGGAAACGCGCTAGACACGCTAAAGCTATCTGCTGGAGGAACGCTGCACTCGTGGTAGGAGAACACCAAGTGTAATTCAAAATAAAAGGTTAGCCAGAATTGCAGCGATAATTCTCAAAGATTGAAATTGACAGGAACTCGATTAAATAATGCTTAAAACTGAACAGAACTGAATAACAAGGAAAACGTGGCACAAGCTCCATTTTTAAAATAGAACGGAGCTAAATTAAATGAATTTGCAGATGGGCGCAAGGCAGGCAAGATATGCAATGACCTGCAGGTAGGACATCGTCCAAACACATGTGCTATAGATGGCCCGCATTTATGTGTGTGTCTCCAGCAAGTGCGCTAAACAATCAGTTCGTCGCAGGCCCTGGCCACCCTTTCTCTATCATTGAATCACTGAGAGATTCTCAGCACCCAAATCAAGCTTCCAAGGTTGGAGCCGTCTCAGCCGCAAGCTCCCTGCTCACAGACACGGGGGCCAAGCCACGTGTGTCCCAGGATGAGAACCAGCCGCACACCAAGCTTTGTGACGCTGAACTCCAAGCTGCTCATGATGCTACCCGCCGAGTGGGTGCAAGTATTCCCTGCCTGAGTCTTCAAGGCCACACATCACGCGCTCTCGCGCACTGACCGCAACAAACAAACCCATACATTGAAACGTCCCATATTCGAGATCCGGCTCAACCCCCGGAAGGCCAGGGAAATACTCAACCAGTTAAAGATTTAAGATGTTGCAACGGAATAACAAGAACCTCGCAAGGGACAAGACTGGGTTCGCTAACTTCTAAAACGATGGCTTAGAACCCAATGCTGTCCATGCCATGGTCCAACAAATGCTTGCCCAAAGACGCTCAAAGGCTAAACCGCCACGCACCGCAAAAAATACCGCCCGCCAACAACCAACATCTCCAAGCAGCTCCATGGCGCGATCTGGTTTTGAAACCCTATTCTCTTTCACATTAACAGAGAGGCGCGTTTTTCATCACGAAGATCTCTCCGGGGGCAGCATTGAAGATCACATCCACCGGTACCCGAGCATCCGCGCAGGCCAGTACCGCACAGTGGTGCTGCGCTGCCGGGCACAGATCCTGGCACTGCACGACTTGAAGCCCGCAGCAGCTAAATGCAAAAAAAAAGAGCCGCCGTGGCCCGATGCGCGCACTCAGCACGACTGTGCACGTTGTGGAAAGCTGGGCAGACTCTTTATCTCTCTCTATCCCTCTGGCTGCCTGTCTCTTTTTCCGCTGTTATTAACCCCGCTTTACCCCCCGTGCTTTTAAGCCGAATAAGTGTCCGTTGAGGAAGACCCCGCCTCCTTTCTCCCCTCCTCTCCGCTCCTTTCCCGAAGCTTCCCCAAGATTTTCCAGAAGCGTGCCAAGTTCCCAGAACAAGGGTAGCACGAAAATGTCCTCATTATCCTGGATGGGGCTGCGCTCTGCTCACTGTAGAGGTTGTAGAGAGAACAACTTGTTAAGAAATTATTTTGATCAACACCGCCTGCAACGAATATGTGTTGTTGGAGACCAAGACCAAGCATTCATGTCCGAGAGCTGCAACATATTCTACCAGGATCCTGCCAGAAGGCGTACACATCAAACCAAGCAAAGACAGCCGTCCGCCTTGTCACAACTCCATCAAGGCCGGGATCCTTCTCGGTGACACACGGCGCCGCAATCTTTTGGGGCTAGCATTTGGACGCAGACTAGCAGAGCTTGTCCACTCGGCGCAGCAGGCGTACCATGCGTCAAAACCCAGCTTCTCGGTTGCAAAATCTACTGGAGTGAAGATCAACTTGAGATTCAGCCAGATGATGAGACCCTGGAATTGAAGTACCTCCGAAGATGACCTTCATAGAGATTTGCTAAACACAAGGTTCAGCAGCACCAACGAAGCGGATTTCTCAAGTCCATCACGCAGCTCATGACACATTCACAGGGTGCTTGGGATGACCTGGATTTCTGCGCATTGGATTACGTGAGTAGCAAGCTTCGTAGCTTGAAGCCAACAAGTCTCACGCGCAGACCGAACCACCTTGGCAAGGACAAGCATCCGCATCAGCTTTTAGAGGCGACACCAAGAGTCTGGGCAGTCACACAAAGCTTGCCAACATATCCTTTTTCGTTCTGTCAAGAGACGGTGCGCTCAAGGCTATCCCTTGGGCTTTGAGCCGTTCTGTGACAGTTGGGCTGTTTGGAGGCAGGGGCAGCACTTGATAAGATTGATGCCAGTTACAGCACGTCGACCGCCAGCTATGGTGTCAGGTGTGATCAGCATGCTGGCGGTCGTCCTCGTCATCACCATCACCCCCATCTCGTTCTTGTCTGACACACACACATGTCGACGTTAGACACTGATGGTGATGCTAAGGGTGCTATGGTGATAGTTATCAAAGGCATCATCACCCGCCCAAGTAGCTATCATCCTGCTAGTGGTGCAAAGGATGCTACAATGATAGTTATCAACATCACGATGGTCATGGTGATCATCATCATCATCATCACCATAATCTTCATCTCTTTCTTTTCAAAACATTTAAATTGGAATACTGGCGCTTCTGATGGCAACACTAAGAGTGGGGATGGTTAGCAATGTCATCATCATCATCATCATCATGGTCGTCACCACTTTCGCTACTTTGATAATTATCATCATGCGAAAAGGGTTCTATGATGATAGCTATCGTCATCATGACGGTGATTTTCACCATCATCAGCATCATCATAAGCACCCTCTCTTCCTTTTCTTATACATACATTTCAGTACAATGATAGCTTTCACCCTCCTCATAATCAATGAAAATGATCATGTTCATGACAGTGATGCAAAGGAGTCCTCTCTTTCCCATGAAAGTTATCATCATCATGATGGTGACGCGAAGGGCGCTACGATAAAAATGATCATCAACATGACGGTGATCATCTTCGCCACCACCATCATCGTAATTCTCGTCCTTTGAATATATATGCATTTCAATACTGACAAGGAAGCTTTGATGCTAAGAAGTCATCACCATCATCATAAGCAGCCTCTCTGAAACTTCTTGTACATACGTTTCAGGACGCTGTGACGATCGTCTGCGTAGTGGCCCTGAGCATGATTGTGATGCAGTGGGAGCTATGATGGTAGTTATCAGACGTTCGGCACTCATGGTGATGCTACAGGCGCTAATGTCCGGAGACGATTAGTAAACTCCCCCCCCCCGATTCAAGGTCCCCCCTTTTCCCCCCCAGATTCTCAGCAATACTAAAGTAAAGTGCCAACAAGGTTTCCAAAAAAACCACACCCAATTATTGTTCGGCCCTCCCCAAAACCCCCCCTGATTAAAGGCATCCCTCTGCAGCCCCTAAGCCAACAAAACCTGCCAGAAAAGGTGCTTTCCTTCTTGCTTAATATTTGCTTAGTCTGTGCTTAAACCCGCCCCGCTACTAAGTCACTATTGAACCCCTCAAGTTTTTCCCAAAAATGTGCTTCCCCCGAAATGCATTTTTCTTGATTAAAATTTGTGTGAAATGACAAGGTTTTCAAGCTCACAAAGGGGACTCTTCTTGGAGGCCAGGCCCCCTCATTAACAGCAAGCCCCCCGCGACTAATCAGGGCCCTTTTGGGCTCAAAACAAGAAAAGTGCTGTTGCCTTTTAAAGTCCTACTGCCCCGAAGGGACCAGAAGTAAGAGGACGAGGACCGAAGGGGCTCCAGAGTAATCAGGGGGGTCCTCCCAAAAATCTCAATTTTTGGGACTTGTCCAAACCTTGTTGGGGGGGGGGGGAGGGGGGGGCAGTTGTCACCATTATGTATCAACTTCATCATGGTCATCATCTCTTTTGCTACCGTAACCTCCTATCATCATCATGACGGTGATCTTCATCACCATCACCATCACAACCATCATCTTTCTCTTGTTCTTATATAAATAACGTTCCTGAAACGTCGCGCGCTCACAGCGCCGCGCAAAGATAGAAGCCTTCGCGCGCTCCCAAAAATCCACGCTCTGCCAAGGAGAGTAATATTCCACGTGCAGGAGCGTGCGCAGGTCCGAGAGTTTCTATCTTGCTGAAACCCTGCAAGGGGTTCATTTCGCATTCGCACGTAACATCTGGAAATGAGAGAATACTGCACCCAGGAAAGCCTGTATTTTACAGGGTTTGCAGCAAGGTAGAAATCTTGCAGCACTTCATGGCTCAGTGGATCATTATATGTACGGAAGGCTGAGCCTAGTACTGACAACAGTAAATTGTGCATATGCAGCACAAAATGAAATGCTGGCACAGCAAATTTTGTACCGGCGACACTATATTTAGTGCTGCCAATACCACATTTGCTACTCAATACAAAATTCAGCGCTGGCAATACCAGCTTTGCTACTCAATACTAAACTGAGCGCTGGTATTAAATTTAGCACTGGCAATACTGCATTTAGCACTGTCAATACAAAATGAGGGTGCAGACTGCAAAACTACTGTCAAACTTCGCAAGCAACCTCCAAACATTGGCGGGAGGCACGACGATCACTTGCCGATGGGGACTGTCCAGTCCTTGCTGACGAAGTAACTGTCTCACTTCTCGAAAGGGGCCGTAATGTCCCAGCTCTCCATCTGCACGCGGCACTTCCGTACAGCGAAACCAAAGTCCTCTTGAGACAGTCTAGTAGCCGTCGTGCTCCTAGACTGCAATTGTGACTTCTGTCCATGAAGCCCCTGGCGCAAAGGCGTGACTTTGCCATCTTGCCTTTCTCATCTTTCGTGAACTTTCTCACCCAAACACAGCCGACCACACCATGTCATCGGTGATCTGCGCGGTGTGCATCTTCCGAAAGGCCTTTTGCTCCGCAAACTGCCTGATCCCTTTCTCGTCAGACGCCTGGAATTCTTCCCAATGATCAGCCAGCTGCTTGTCATCCAAAACAGAGTCAACTCTGTAGATCTCTTGCGTCAGAATGTCAACGAAGAGCGGCTGTTCGATTGGGCCTGATGTGTGGACCAGATACTGCTGTGTCGTCTTGATGCATTGGTCATCACAGTGTTCAGTGTGGTAGTGCTTGAGGCAATCCACCATCTGGCTCATCTGGTGCTCTTCATGCTCTTCATGTTCTGGCGTCCAAAGACCAGTCGGCTTGTAGCAAATCTTCCGCCGCTGTTGTGTCATCCACCCAGAGTGACTGAAGATGCAATGTATGTTGTGGAAGAGGTTTGGCGCGCAGTCGAAAACGCTTCTTCTCTGGGGACAAGCAGATGGTTCGGCTGTCAGGTCCGGGACGTTTCCTACTCTCATCATCCGTGATGTTGTCGGTGACGTCCTTGAAGTGATCGGAGCCACGGAGACGCTTCCTCCTTCACCCATGATGTGGAAGTTGTAGAAGTAGATGTGACTGACTTCTTCCAGATGGCTATCTTTGATGCTCTCCGTGATGAGGTACTGATCTGACGATGCTGGCCAGGATACAAGCGTGCCCTTGCTGAACTTGGGCACCTGAATGGTCTTGAGCGCTCGTCCGAAGCGTGCTCCATGTACTTCTCGATGTAGTACGTTCTTGCCGGTCTGCACGAACTTCTCGTAGAGCTCGCTTTGCTCAGGACTCCATTCTGTGGGGATTTTCTCCCACTGGAGCATCCCAGAAGCTTCATCGCTCACCACGACGTATCCAAGTGAGTGCTGTGTGTAGCTGGTGGAGTTCTCGACATGCGTCATGAGTTCACGCAGGCTCCTTTCCTGTTCTTGGCTAACTTCCATGCCGATGAAGTAGCTGCCGCGATAGGGACGAATGTGCCGTAGTGGTGGTAGATAAGGCTTGCCGTTGAACTCGACGATACATGTGCCCTTGTCCTCGTTCAGCTTCAACAGTTCGGCAGGACCTCTCCATCCACGAGCGCCATCATCTCGGAAGATCTCAACCTGCGAAGTGCCAGGCGTGAGTTTAGCGAGATCGGTGCGTTGAGGTCTGGTTCTGCCAGCTCGTGCTTTTCGATCCTCCAGAAGGGTGCTTGTGCTGGCTGTTGCGCTATCTGACGAAGTCTGGCGGCTCGTTCCCTGCTCTGCGTCTCTACCCTGAACGCTCATGGGTACATCTTCCAGTTCCATGAAGCCTCGAGGCA